ACTGAGGCTTAAGCCTAAGGTCTTGCATAGGCATGTTCATGTTAGCCTCTGGAGTAGCAGGGAATGAAAACAGAGTCTCCCAAGCACGGAAATTTCGGTGTGATCGTATCCATGACCCACTAAAATAACGTTTATTCTTTCTTTTATCTTATTTCTTCCCCCACTTTTTTTTCTTTGTTGAAATAGGAACTCAAGTAGTAAAGGCCAACTTCAAAATAAAACATTATATTGTTGAGGTTGGCCCTGAATTCCTGACCCTCCCATCTCTACTCCCCACTCCTGGGATTAGAGGCTAACGTCATAATGCTATGCAAAAGACTGGAGCTTTCCATGTACTCCAGGTTGGTATGAACTGCACAGTGATCCTCTCACCTCAGCCTCCAGAGTGCTAGGATCACAAACTGAGTCCCATGCCAGACTTAGAAATCTCTGTCTATTCCAAGGTCATGAAGATTTTTCTCCTATGTGCTCAAGTTTTATGGTTTTAGAAAGTTCACAGAAATCTATATTTCAAGCTAAATAGGTCTACAGTCAATGGTCCTCTCTCTCTATAAAGTCATCTGCTGTTTTCTATTTTTGTTGAAAAGACTGTCTTTGTAACATTAGAATCATGTTTGAGAAGAATGAACTAAAAGCACACGAGTGGTGGCTGCAACCCCAGAATTTCTGAGGCTGAGACAGGATTTCTTTGATTTCTAGCCCAGGCTGGGTTACACAATGACTCTATGCCAGCCTGAAAAAACATCTCACCAACCCCTTCAAAACAACAAACAAATGAACCAAAAGGCAATGTATAAGGTCATACAGACAGATCAGTGGTTAAAAGCACTTGTTGCCAGGTCTGAGTTCCATCCCTGGGACCCATATGAAAATAAATAAATAAAAATAACAAGAAAAAAAGGCATAACTGATGTCTATAAATTGTCCTTTGACCTCTATCCTGTGCCCTTGTGACAAAAACACATACAATAAATAAATATGATAAAAATATTTTTAAAGGAAGTATATTAGGAGTAACTATTTCTGGTCTTTAAACATTTTTTAAAAATATATTTATTGTGATTCAGATCATCAAGCTTGGAGACCTACACATTTATCAACAACACAAACTCAAAAGCCTTATTTCCAGACTTTTTGTTTCAATAAAGCATACTATATGTTTATAGTCCTGGCAGGAACGGATATTCTTTTCTTAGAGACAGAGTTTCACTATGAAGACCTAGCTGGCCTTCAACTCACATAGATCTGGCTGCTTCTGTTTCCCAAGTGTTAGGATTAAAGGGGTATCTTAGCTACTGTTCCATTGCTGTGAGGAAACACCACGACCAAGCAGCCTATAAAAGAAGGCACTGAATTGGGGATTTGCTTAGTTTCAGAGGGTTAGTCCATCATGGTGGGGAGCATGGCGGCAGGCAGGAATGGAACTGGAGCTGTAGCTAAGAGTTTACATCTTATCCACAAAATGGGGGCAGAGAACAAGAGACTGAGCCTGTTGTGGGCTTTTGAAACCTAAAAGTCCAACCCCAGTGACACACTTCCTACAACAAGAATACAGTTCCTACCCTTTACCAAATAGTTCCTGTAGAGTAAAAAGGACAACTGGAACAGGAAACCAACCAATCATTGAGCACTAAGCAAGGCGGAAGAGAACAGAAGAACCTTGCTAGGTAGCTACTTAAGGGGGGCTGAGCAAGGAATAGCAGAAAAAATTAACAACTTTTCGCTGGAGCCAGAAGAGATTGCTACATTTTTGAAGGGGCTTCCCCTGTAGCACAGTGTTAGCAAAAGAAGTAACATCTTGGACCAGAGAAGAAGCAGACAGCTCTGTCAGAACGTTTTCCCTTAAGGGAACAGAGCAGAGCTCAGTTGTATGGCTCTCAAGGAGAAGACTATTCCCCACCGCATCCCAGCTTCAGGTAGCCTGGCTTCCTGGCTTAGTCAGGACACCTGTCCTTCAGGGCTGAGCTGTCCTATTGCAGCTCTACCCCTCCAGAGCTGTCCTATTGCGGATCTACGTATAGCCTGGCTTCCCGATACATCAGAATATCTCTGGAACTCCACAGCTATAACACATTCCCCCATAGTTCCAATCACTGGAAATCAAATATTCAAGTAGATGAGCCCCGGTGGTGGTGGTGGGGGTTCATTCTCATTTAAATTATCACAAAGGATAAGAAACTTGTGCTCTTCCATTTGGCTACCTTGGTTATACGATAACTGAAACAGTATTCCTTCACAGAGATCTAATATAAGGAAGGAAATGGCTAGGGCCATTGGTCAACCAGAGGAGGAACTTGTCTTCAGGAAAGTTTCACCAATACTGATACTAGCTGAAGCCTGAAGCCCGAAGAACTACTTTCTTTCTTGTAGCCCTGGTTATCCTGGAACTCCCTCTGTACACCAGGCTGACTACAGCTCTGACTCTGGAGTGCTGGGATTAGTGGTGTGCCACCCCCACCTGGCCTTTTTTTGTTTGTTTGTTTGCTGGAGACAAGGTCTCACTATGCTCAGCTCTGACTGTCCTGGAACTATGTAGACCAGCTTGGCCTACAGAGCTGTTAGGATTAAAGGCATGCACTACCATGTTCAACTTAAAAATATTCTTTTAAGGTTTATTTATTTTATGCCTGTGTTTTGCGTGTGTGTGTGTGTGTGTGTGTGTGTGTGTGTGTGTATCTGTGTCTTCTGACCGTTCCAGTTATGGTGAAATGTCACATGGGTTCTGGGAATCACACTCAGGTCCTCTGTAAGAACAAGTATTCTTAACCACGGAGCCATCTGCCCAGCATCAGGACTGTTTCAGATGCACATTGCTCATCCATTTAAACCTCATGCTAGGACTCCGCTGATAGACTTAAAGGTAGGAGGTCAACGGACTTCTCTGTACCTCTCCTAAATACAGGAGCACAGGATAAATATCCCTATATTGCTTTTCTCTATTAATCTTTTTTTTCTTTTCTTTTCTTTCTTTTTTTTTTTTTTTTGTTGTTGTTTTTGGAGACAGGGTTTCTCTGTAGTTTTGCAGCCTGTCCTGGAACTAGTTCTTGAAGACCAGGTTGGCCTCGAACCCACAGAGATCCGCCTGCCTCGGCCTCCTGGAGTGCTGGGATTAAAGGCGTGGGCCACCACCACCCAACTGCTTTTCTCTATTAATCATTTAACTGACCTTCTGAGACTAGGTAGGATGCTGTTCAGGCCTACAGTAAAAGTTTGTCTATTCTTTTACCAATATCACACTGTCTTTGTGTAGGTATGTGTGCTGTATGTACAAATGTGTGAACGGGTGCACACAAAAATGCAGGTGCCAATACATGTATATGCTTGAAGGAGGCAGAGTTCAATGCTGGGTGTCTTCCTCAATCTCCACAAAACAGGGTCTTGCACTGAATCTGGAACTCATCAATTTGGCTTCTTCAACTTTTGTTCTTGAAAGAATGAAACTATGCTAGTATTTTACATATGGGATTTTTTTGGGTGTGTGTGTGTGTGTTTATGTGTTACTAACATACAAGAGAGGAAAATGCTTTAACAATGGCACTATACTCTTAAATGCTTTTATGGTTTTTGTTGTTATTTTGTTTTTCGAAACAGGGTTTCTTTATGTAGCCTTAGGTATTCTTGACTGTCCTAGAACTCTCTCTGTAGACCAGGCTGGCCTTGAACTCACAGAGATCTGCTGGCCTCTGTTTCCCAAGTGCTAGAATTGAAGGCATGGTGCCACCACTGCCCAACTCCCTTTTATGCTAAATGAGGTCTCTGTATTTCAGGCTGGCTTTGAAATCTTGGGAAACTCCTTGGTTCAGCCTCCCAAGTACTGCAGACACAAGCCTGAGCCACCACCTCTGCTGGGCACTGTATAAATCTTAGAATTAGTGCCTGTGAGATGGCTCAGCGGTAAATACACTTGTGGCCAGGCCTGAACACCTGTGTTCAGTCTGCTCAATCTTAGGGTTCCACAGGACAAAGAACAGAACAATTTGGGAAAGTTGTTCTCTGACCTCCACATTTGCAATGTGACATGTATGCACCATGAGCAAACACACACATAATACGCAAAAACTCAACAAATATATATTGTAGACATGTGCCATAATGTACTGTTGATAAAAGCCTTACCACCCCCTTAAGTTAATTCTGAAAACTTTCTCATTCTAGATTTTAAAAATAAAAGGAAATACATTACAGAATCTGCCCATCATTTCAAATGAATTTCATAAAGACCACATTACACATATAAACCGGTTTAGAGAACTGTCATCTTAATGTTTAAGAGTCATCTATCTAAAAGAATGAAATACGCTTATTATTTTTTTGATATTGTCTTATGTAACCTAGGTAAGCTCTACATAAAGTGCAATGTCGGGGAAAGAACCCAGGGATGCATAAATGCTATGAAAGCACTAATATCAACTGAGCTACAATTTTGGACCTTATTATTATCATATAATGTAGCCCAAACTGGCCCCAAATTCACAGCAATATCTCTTGCCTCAGTCTCTCCAGTGCTGGCATTACCAGCTTACTTTGTTGTTTTTTTTTAAATTTAAATACTTAACGCATATATTTGAGAGATTTATCTTTAAATATTTCATGGATGACCTAAGGGAACTCCTCATCCTGCTTCTACCTCCCAGCTGCTGAGATCACAGGCCAGTGCCGATACACTCCCAACAATAGTGACTTATTAAAGGGCTTCAAGCCATACTATTACAGAATATACTATTTTACATCATTTCAATTCAAAAAATGATGAGTGTGCTCTGTCTGTTGTACTAAGTAGGTGCACATGTCCAGACCCCTGTGGAGGCCAGTGTGACAAGTCTGGTGCTAGGACCCGAGGACTTCTGCAGCAACAGCACGTGCTCTTAACTGCTGAGCCAGTTTTTAAAAGTAAAATGATTTTTGCATTACACATTATCACTGACACTAAGATGAAAAGACCATTTTTTGTTTGCTTTATATATTCATTAAGTAGCAGATAATAAAACAATAGCACTTACTTGCTGAAGAAGTACTCTCAGATGAAGACCTTTTACGGGTGGGGCTACAATTTGTGCTTTCTGATGACCTCTGGGGAAGTTTATCTGAAGTTGACTGGGAACCTTGGAAGAAAGAAAAACAAAGAAATGTTAGTCAATCCAAGACTACAAGAAGTGTTTATCAGATCGTGCTGTGATAGAATAGGGAATTTTAGCTGCTACCACTGCCATTGCCTGCAGCAATACAACACCAGGTAAGCTCCCAAGAAGAAAATAAATAAGAAGAGGATAAACCATGCCAGATGTTACTGACAGAATTTCCCAGGTCTCACAGAATTTATATATTAGCAGAGAAACAGAACTCTAATTTTAATGGTAGGATAAAAATAAATTGTGATTTTTGTTTCATCACTATAAAATACTTACTGATAAAAATTGATAGTCTAACCTGTTCCTTATTTTTTATTAAAACTCATCATATAAACCAGTAAAACATGATACAAGTAATTGAGAAATAATTGATGTGGGAATGGCATATCCATCTTAGGTATCTCATTTAATAGACTCAGATAAAAAGTAGAAGCTTAGACCTCAAGGTCATCATCTTTTTTTTTTTTTTTTTTTTTTTGAGACAGGATTTCTCTGTGTAGCTCTGATAGTCCTGGTACTCTCTCCGTAGACCAGGCTGGTCTCGAACTCACAGAGCTGCCTGCCCCTGCCTCCTGGGTTCTGGGATTAAAGGCATGTACCACCACACCAAGTGAAGTTCATCATCTTATCCAATTCACCAAGTAATTTTCACATTCTATTTTCTTCTATAGAAAATTCTGAAAGAACTGGTTATAAATTTATTTGTGGGATGCATATGGTATACACTTACGGTTACTTAGTTTATAGTTATAAAATGTCATAAAAACAATTTTCCTTTAAAAAGTCTAATAATTTTAGCAAAACTACGCACTGGTGCAGCACATAATTCAGTGCATCTATTTTCAGGAAAAACAATGATGCTCAGGAACGATTATTTTTCTACACAAATATTCTTGTTTCTAATACTCCTTTCATAATAATCTAAAAGCCAACTGTTTAAAATACATAATAAACATCAATTTTTTGTCAAAAGAATTAGCACTCTAAATCATTCACTTTTGTAGCTAAAATAAGCTTTTACATACAATTGGAGGCACAAAAGAAACCAAAGGCTTGAAGAGGAGACTATGTGGAACTGCCTCTAAGACTTAACTCTAATGAAGACAGGATTTAATTTCTGAAGGACAACACAGAACAGAAGAAACAAACAGGGCTAAGTTTCTATGATTTCCCTTCCTCTAGGAGAAAAAGTATGACCTGTTTTATTAAATACTTTCTTTCTTCTTTGTTCTTTTCAAGACAGAGTTTTTCTGTCGCTTTGGAGCCTTTCCTGGAACTCACTCTATAGACCAGGCTGGTCTCAAACTCACAGAGATCCGCCAGCCTATGCCTCCTGAGTGCTGGAATAAAAGGTGTGCACCACCACCCTCCAGCTTAATTAGTTTCTTAAGCAACACCAGTGGAATTATTATTTTTGTAGGCTACTGGCAGCATTGACCAGATAGTATGTGTGACTCACTACTCAAGCATGAGAAGTCAGATACTGGATAAATTCAGGCTGTGACAGTGCTCCCTACTTCTAAAACAGTGATGACCGATGTAAGATCTACTCAAGAACAAAGACAGTTTAGTTTTGAATTCCAAAGAGATATGAAAAGGGATTTTTGGAAACAGTACAGTAAATCCCCATGGTGCTGGCTCAGAATGTCTATTACAGAGCTAATAGTATGATAAAATAAAACATGTAAGAGTAAGGCAAGGCATCAGTGAAGACTAAGAATCGATACATAAGACTTCATATAAGGACAGATATATTCTTGCTAGTGAGGCATGTAGCCAAGTCAGAAGACAACAACAGTGGCCACTGTGCTCTATCAGCATCCCTGATGAATGGGCAAACAGTGTAGATTCAGTGCCCGGGAAGAAAGAAACTGAAGAGCACTCTCAATAGCTTTCTCTCAGTTTTAAGTTAGCATCCATCGGGAGTTTTTTCATGGCTGGTGTTTGGCTAGACTGTGAAGGTGGGAAGAAACAGAAACAGAGAACAGGAGCTTGTTTAAGGTTGTGTATGTCATCACACACTACATTTCAGATGGTATTTGTGCTGTCTGCTCTTGAGCTCCATCTTAAGCTATTTGGTTAACTTTCCCCCAAATTTTTTGGTCATCTTCAAAGTCTTCATGGAGGCTTCAACTATACCTTTGATCATCAGGATATCTGAGAATCACCCTGCCTGGCCTCACCCACCTCAGGGTAAAGAGGGTACAGGTACTTTCTTCAAGCTCCTTCTTTTGGTGGCATCTGGAGCTGCTTAGGAGGCAGTGGGAGGTGGAATAGGGGTCAGATCCCCGGAGATCGTTATTGGCAGCATTGTACAGCAATTCCTGAGAAATTGAAACAATTGAGAGAGAGATGGCTTAGCTCACTTAGCTTCTGAGCCATTTTTCATTTTCTGAAAGTAATGGAGGCCAGCAAAGTATCATTAAAATGTAATAGTTGACTGGAATAAAAATTCAGGAAAACTATCATTTTTCATTTGTAAAAGTGTGTTCAAATCCCCTGCTCATACAGAGTAGAGGTGTTCTTAATATTGCATATTTAGAGAATAAAGTTGTATCCATGAGATATGCTCAAAAGCAGTGCTAACAGGTGCAGGAAGAGAGGAGAATACCTGGAGGAAAAACAACGCCCAATGATTTAAAGTAAACAGACTTAAGGCTGGAAAGCAGTGCTGTAACTTTTGAGCAAGAAGCAGCAACCTGCTAAAGATGAATGAAGTATGTGAAGTTTATCACTATAAAAACTATAAGTTTATCACTATAAAAACATACTGCCTTGTTAACTTCCATTATACAGGTCAGTGATTAGGGAAGAATAGGAGAATATCCAGAAAGAACTAACATGTCTCTTCCAGCAGAGTCCCCAACATAGCTCTATGTCCAAACGTAAGACAAAACGAGATGCAGATGCAGAGTGGAGTGCAGGACGGTGTTAAGGAAGAATGGAGCAAAGTAACCTGGGTCTGATTGCTCCATCTTTAGTAAATTAAGGATCAGGAGCAAAGCAAATCAACATGCCTTACTCTGGTTTATTAAAGCACTCTAAATCATAAGGCCGAGTCCCAAAATGGTATAGTAAATGTAATGTCACCTTACAAAATTCAATGTGGCTTATACGTGTTAGTGACTATTACATAGGAAGAGGTTCCAGATACTGGCCATGCTACCTTTCTATTGGGGAAGAGAATGCCAATGACTGAAACCAGGGTCTTGTGCTTCACTAAGTGGAAAATTCACCATTATTGTAAAAAAATATCTTAGATGTTAAATACATAAGTAACTAACAAATTTAAGTGAATATTCAATTTTAAAATAAGAATTTAAGGAAAGAAGAAACAAATTCTAGTCAGGAGTTGAAAGTAACCTATAGGCCGGGCGGTAGTGGTGCACACTTGGGAGGCAGAGGCAGGCGGATCTCTGAGTCTGAGGCCAGCCTGGTCTACAGAGTTCCAGGACAGGCTCCAAAGCTACAGAGAAATCCTGTCTCGAAAAACAAACAAACAAACAAACAAAAAGAAACTAACCTATAGCTATCAACACTTACCTTAAATGTAAAGTGAATACAATTAAGATGTCCTCCAAAAACAAGGACACCCAAGCAGGGAAGAACTTGCAAGACAGTCATCTGACTCTTTAGTTTCTCTAGGAATGGATTGCCATCTAAACCACAGCAATAATATAAGATGTACCAAGAGAAATCGGACCCAGGTGTCCAGCTTTCTGTTTAGTTCTTTAACAAAGGACAAAGCAGTTTTATGCTTCCCCTATTTATTTTTTTGTGCTTCCTATTCCCAGTTATCTTCTAAGTGGAGTTACAACTTTGTTGTATCCAGCTTTGGAGAAGCATTACTCAGTTTCACTTGTAGTGAGGAAAGATTTGCCAGCAAAGATATGCAAAGACTTGATTCTACAAAACAAGGTGTGTTTACATGGAATTTAAGCTCAAGAAAATGTAATGCCACCTCAAAAAAGTGCAAAAGACACACAAATAGAAATAAGTAAGTTTCCACCATTTCTCATTTCAATTTAGAACAAAGGAATATAGATGGAAATTCTTCAGTTCATAGAATTGTCAATTAGGAATATTGCTGGGGTCTCAGTACTCAGACCACAGCCTAGAAACATGTTTAGAAACTACATACACATAAGTAAAGCGTTAATTACACAGAAAGCAGAGAACATATGCTTAAATAAAACAGGACTTATAATAAAGGTATAGTGATTCTTAGGAGTCAATTCTTAATGCCTGCTGGTAAGAAAGACATTTTCGTGAAGACGACAGCAGAGTGCTAAGGAGGAAAGCCAAGTATCACAAACTAGGATGCTACATAGAGGGATACAAGACCTGAAAATAAACTCAGATATATAAAGAAACCTCAGAAGTCATTTGAATTACAGTATTTTTGAGTTTCATTAGTCCATTATTTGATAAACTTATAAGACAAGACTTTGAGAAAATATTTGTATCAATGAAGGCAAAAAGGGGAAGATGGTCTAGATGGTATGCACATAGCAAGAAAAAGGGCAAGAATGTCAGAAAATTGAAAAGGGAAAAAAGAACACAAACGGATTATAAACAACAATCTAAGTTTATAGTATCCACAAAAATAAGACCAAACAGCTGTCATAAGGTTGCTTTTAAAAATATCTTGATTAAATCTACTAAAAAAAAAAAGAATGCTATTTTCACTGATAACTGAGAGTAAGCAAAGAGTCAAATGGTCAAAGCTATCAGAATCAATAGAGAAAACTACCACAGAGAGTGTCTCTGTGTGTAGAAAAGTAGAAGACTCACAAATACATAGCTGTGAGATGACTCTGTGAATAAAGAGTTTGTGAATAAAGAGTTGTGAGTTTGCTGAGCAAGCTTGAAGACCTGAACTAGGTCCCTGGAAGCTACCGAAGGAAGAGAGAACTGTTAACTGATCTCTATATACATCCTAGGGCATGTGCACTCTCTTACCGGAGCAAACA